AAAAAAAAAAGGGTAAGATGTCATGGTAGGGGTCTATACAGACCACCTAACCAGGAAGAAGAGGTGGATTAGGCATTTTTTAATCAACTAACAAAATCATCCAAAGCACAGGACGTGGTGGTAATGGGGGACTTCACCTACCCAGACATCTGTTGGGAAAATAACACAGCTGGGCACAGATTATCCAACGAGTTCTTGGAATGTATTGGAGACAATTTTTTATTTCAGAAGGTGGAGAAAGCTACTAGGAGAGAGGTTGTTCTAGATTTGATTTTGACAAATAGGGAGGAACTGGTTGAGAATTTGAAAGCGGAAGGCAGCTTGAGGTGAAATAGATCATGAAATGGTGGAGTTCATGATTCTAAGGAGTGGTAGGAGGGGAAACCAGCCCAGTAAAGATAATGGATTTCAAGAAGGCAGATTTTAGCAAACTCAGGGAGTTGGTAGGTAAGATCCCATAGGAAGCAAGTCTAAGGGGAAAAACAGTTCAAGAGAATTGACAGTTTTTCAACAAGATCATAGAAGATTAGGGTTGGAAGAGATCTCAGGAGGTCATCTAGTCCAACCCCCTGCTCAAAGCAGGACCAATCCCCACCTAAATCATCCCAGCCAGGGCTTTGTCAAGCCGGGCCTTAAAAACCTCTAAGGATGGAGATTCCACCACCCCCCTAGGTAACCCATTCCAGATGTTATTAAGAGCACAAGAGCAAACTATCCAACTGTGTAAGAAAGATAGCAAGTGTGGCAAGAGACCCACCCAGACTTAACCAGGAGATCTTCAAATCTGAAACTCAAAAAAGAGCCACAAAAAGTGGGAACTGGGTCAAATTACAAAGGATGAATATAAACAAACAGCACAAGCATGTAGGGATACAATTAGAAAGGCCAAGGCAAAAAATGGGATTAAACTAGCTAGAGACATAAAGGGTAACAAGAAAACATTGTACAAATACATTAGAAGCAAGAGGAAGACCAAGGACCAGCTAGGCCTCAATGAGGGAGGCAGGGGGGAAACAATAACAGAAATGTGGAAATGGCAGACTTTTTTGTTTCAGTTTTCACCAAAAAGTTTAATAGCTATTGGACATCTACTCACTTCTTTACTTTGTTTAGTCACGGTGGAGCTTTTTTGGTCCTCTTCCTCTGTTTTTTAATGTGGGGTATACATTTAATGTGTGCCATTATTATTGTGTTTTTATCCACGCAGCTTGCAGTCATTTCACTTTTGTGATTGTACCTCTTTCATTTCCATTTAACTAGCTTCCTCATTTTTGAAGTTAAATGCTATTGTAGTGGTCGTCTTTGTTGTTTTTTCCCCCACAAGGATGTTAAATTGAATGATGATATGGTCGCTTTTATCCAGTGATTCAGCTATATTCACCTCTAGGACCAGATCCTGGGCTCCACTTAGGACTAAATCAAGAACAAGTTGGCAGGTTGGCCAAAGGCATGGTCTAGAGGTCCTAGGGGAGCAAAGGGCTCAGTTTTTCACACCTAGCTCCTGCTTGGAAAGAGATGATCAGTGCTATGAGTGCAATGATGCAAGAAAACATAGCCATCACTTCACTTCTTGGCTTAGTGTCACTAGTGGCCCTTCCCTATTTTTAAAGCAGTATTGTGATTTGATTTCAGTTCTCCTAGCATGGTCTGGAAAATGTATTGCACATAACTGACTGGACACCAGTCTTCAACATGGTGCTCAACAGATTAGGACGCTGTACTGGAGGGGAGGGAAAGCAAATTCAAGAGTTGAAGACACTCCGTCCCAGCCCATTGATATATAATTCTAGAGACCATAAGCTTGAGTGTCTCAGCCGACCACAAGTGTGGGGATGCCACATGAAATAGAGAGAGTTGATCTGAGATGTGCAGAACCAAAGCCATAAAGACCATTACAGATCAAAGCTAACTCTGTGACCTACACCCTCAAATAAACTGGCATCCTGCAGAGTTTCTGGAATACCAGTGTAATATACTACCACCACATGGTACTGCTAAGTAAGCAGATGGCTGCATGTTGTACCACCTGAAGTTTCCAATTGACCTTCAGGTAGAGAATTACAGCAATCCAATATGCAGGCATGACTAACCAGGATGAGGTTCTGCACCTTACTGGAAAAATCACAACTTCCTTGCCAAACATAGATGGGGAAAATCAAGTCCGCTTGACCAGAGTGACTATATGGACATTTGGAAGGACAAAGAGACCAGATGCTACCCTACTCTTATCATAGTCCAGATCTCACCATGACTCTTGGAAGCTCAGAAATTGTACCATGCAGGTCTGATAAAAGCAGAACACTAATCTCGTGGTGTTGGCCCTTCAGCTTGAACCTCTCACTCTGTCCTCTCTCAGCCTCGTGTGTACACTGAACGAGAGAGATGCGAGAATGGATTGCTGTGCTATACCACACAAGAACCCCAGATCAGATGTATAATCACTTAATGCTGCCCTCTTGGTTCTCCCTGTGTGAAGAATAGAGCTATGCAAGTGCAAATTTAAGTCTTTGGGGGTGTCCCCAACACCCCATGATCACTGGTCTCAGAGACTGCCCTCAGGTCCAAAAAGGAAAAGCAAGGACACTTTAGGCTAGATCTTGGCCCTGATGCAGCCACTTTCCACCAGTTCACCATAAAGGCAGCTTAACTGGCTACCTAAGGGTTACACTGACATGGAATCCTCAGGTGGTGAAAGGCCAATGTAATGAATATCACCACCTTCTCCCACTCCTCCTTCAGATGGGCCGTGTGGCCAGCGAAAGGGGGGGTATGGTGAGGAAGTTGCAATTCCTAGCTGATGCCAGTCTGCCAGACTACCCCCTAGGGGCCATTATCCTCAGGTGCAACTTACACAAGCCCTGATGCTGACATCAGCATTCACACTCTGTACTAACTGTGTGCTTGATGTACCTTTTTCTTTGCACAATCTTATCTAGTATTGTCTGTTTTTAACTGTATAAATAAAGAGAACAATACAATGTTTTAGATAATAAATAAAACCCACATGCACTCACATGTTGACTAAGTGCTAGGAATATGGGACTCTCTCCCTCCGGGTCCTTGGAGAGCAGCTTTGAGAAGATGAGATATTAAATGCTGAAATTGTGGGGAGTTGGAGGGAGAAGCACAACAGTGATAGTATGCAGCCACTTAAAGCAGTGGTGTTCTCAGATCTGCTCTCTGGTGTGCATGCCGCTCAGGCAGCCAGACTGGTAACATTTAAGGGTAAGCTCACCAGGAGAGAGAGAGGGCAAAACAAAAGGAAATAAAAAGAAAATAATCCTTCCAGGAAACAGTTTAAAACTGGGGCAAGCTGTTTTCAACTCGCTGTTTGGAATACAGTCAACATGCTAGACGCACCAGTCAGCTCCAGGGTGGAATTTTTTTTAACTCCTTGAGGAAATGCACCTGGATATTTTTAGAGGTATTTACAGAGTGTTTCCACTGTTGCATTGAAACACCTGTTTGCTGCTGCCTGGATCAGCAGCAGTATAAGAAAAAAACTCATTTTCACTCCCTTGGTAATTGGTTTTTAAACGGAGTGGTATATTTAAACAGAGTGGTATATTTTTTGAAAGTAGCTTTAAAGGGACACTGTCAATTCTGACTGGGCCCAACATGTAGATGGTGTAACAGCTAAGCTTTTACAAGAGCAAACACCAATCTCAGTGTTGACATGGCATTTAAAAAAACCTCTTTCTAAATGAATAAACATTCCTCCTTTCCCTGCATCCTCACCCCCAGCAAGTGTTTGCAGCCCAAACATTTTCAGCACTGAGAACAAAACCAAAATGAATTCAGTGGTTTACGTTGTCCTGGCTGAGAAAAATCACCAAATAAATGGCATCAAGCCAAGAAGTGAATTGGATTTTTTAGAACCCTTTCACTTTTAATAATCTATGAATAACATAGGACTACCAGCTACATACACGCCAGCAATGTACAAGAACAAACTGGTGCTTCCTCTGGTCCAGGATCTTCTTGACAGAAGCTGGTACCAGATGCTGCAGAAGAAGATGCAGAAAAACCTGCTGTTGACAATTATGGTATAATTTGCTCACAGAGGAAGTTTCTTACAGACCCCTGTAAATCAGTGGTTTGCTTGTGCCCTGAAGCAGGAAGATTTATAGCCATCCTAAAAAGATGTTTTGTCCTGTCCAATGTAACTCTGGATGTCTACATTATCAATGTGGGGGAGATAGCTCAGTGATTTGAGCATTGGCCTGCTAAACCCAGAGTTGTGAGTTCAATCCTTGAGGGGGGCCACTTAGGGATCTGGGCAAAAATCTGTCTGGGGATTGGTTGTGTTTTGAGCAGGGGGTTGGATTAGATAATCTCCTGAGGCCTCTTCCAACCCAGATATTCTATGAATATAAATGTAATATTTTTTTAAAATCCCATTCATTTTTGCCCTCAATTATATATTGTGGCAGTGAATTCCACAGATTATTTATGCATCGTAGAAAATACTTTATTTACTAGTTTTAAATTTGTTGCATTGCGGTTTCTTGAACAAAACATTCCCCTTGTCTTATATCATGAGTGGGGAATAGAAGTACCCAATCTCCTCCTCTAGTCTAGTCATTATTTTGTATACCTCTGTCATATCCCCACTTATTTGTGTCTCCTCTGAACTAAACATTCCCGATCTTTTCAATTGTTCCTCATACAGAAGTCTCTCCAAGCCTCTAATTTTTTTGTTGCCTGTCTCTGAACCCCTATTATATCTGATATATGCTTTTTGAGACAGAGTTACTTTCTATCCCATGCCTAATTTCCATCCTACATTGTACCTGCCATAGTTCATGCTACACTCTGTTGGCTTCATTAGGGCTAGATTTCCATTTTTAGGCTAACTTTTTGGCTTGAATGACCTTATGAACTTTAGCATTTAACACAACTTTCATGTCTTGCCCTCCTCCTTCCTCTTCTGGTTAAGGGTATGCATGCCTTCTAGGACTTGGTTATAGTTGTTTTAATAGCCTCCATGCTGACACAAAGGATTTTAATTTTCTTCACTTTCGATTTTAGAATCTTTGACTACCTTCCTCATTTTGAAAAATTCCACTGTACAAGTTTTTTGCAAGATTCCTCCCGAGGAAGCTGAGATTAATTGTACTGTAGTCACTAGAGCTTAAATTCAGCGAGAGCCGACCAGAGAGGAGCTGTAGTAAATATTTTCAAACCTGCAGCAGCCTCAGCATTCCCCGCCGGGCTGGAGCCCGGAGCCCTGGTTTGCCCCGCAGGGCTGGAGCCCGGAGCCCCGGTTTGCCCCGCAGGGCTGGAGCCCCAAGCCCCAGGAAATACTTGGGGAGAATTTAAGCCCTGGTAGTCACTATTATTGAATTATATATAATTATTGCTATAGTTATTTCTCATGTTCTCTAGAACTCGCTGTTCCAAGAAATGGTCATTTAAGATCCTGAGAAACTGTTCCACTTAAATCTTTTCCTGTTGTGTTATTTGAACAGTTTATATACAAACAAATGGTAGAAAACGTGTCTCCTTAAAATGGACAGTGCACTGGAAGCAGGGGAAGTATTTCTGAAGCTCTTTAAAATTCTTGGCTGAAAGTGCTATCAGGGCCGAAGTACGACTTCTTGAAAAGGAAACTGTTCTGTATGGTGGTTATTACAAGCTTGGTTTGAATTTTTAATCAGTCATGTCCTTCTCTCCGCTCTCACTAGGCCCTGAAGCAGCAGCAACAGAAGCAGCAGCAGCAGCAATGCAGAGCAGGCATGCCTGTGTCTTCTAACCAGCATCTTCTGCTGAAGACTGTGAAGGCAGCCAGTGACTCCACGCCTGCTAAACCTGGTACGAGGCAGCGAGATTCCCAGGCTCTCTTTTACTGTCATGTCTCTCTAACTTGCCTTTCCTAGGCTTTAGGGGAAGAGGGAGGGAGAGGAAGCCCCTGTTTTCCAGAGCATTCTTTGTATTTCTAAACTCTTCCAGCTTCTGTCTTCTTGGCTTTGTCTATACCAGGAAAATGCATTGTGTTAGGGAAAAATCATAGATTTTAAGGCCAGAGGGAACCATATGATCATTTGTCTGATGCCCTGCACAGTACAGCCATCACCTAATAATTCCTGTATCAAACCAGTACATTCTGGTTGAGCTAGAGTAGAAAACAATCCAGTTTTGCTTTAAAGACTTCAAGTAATGAAGAATATCTGACAGCCCTTGGTAAAATGTTCCAATGGTTAATCACCCGCACTGTTAAAAATGTGCACCTTATTTCTAAACTGAATTTGTCTAGATTCAGCTTTCATGCATTCAATCTTACTATGCTGTTGTCTTGTAGACTAAAGAGCCCTCTACTATCAGAAAACTTCTCCCCATGTCGGCATGTATAGACTGTGATCAAGTCACCTTGTAATCTTCTGATGGATCGGCTAAACAGATGTAGCTTCTTAAGTCTCTCATTATAAAGCATGTTTTCCAGAACTTGAATCAATCATTTAGCTGTTTGCTGAACCCTTCACAATTTCACTACATTTTCTGAAGTGTGGACACTAGAACTGGACACAGTATTCAGTGATATCTCACTAATCCTTATTGCTTCTCAATATCTCCCCTTATTCAGCAAAGATCACATTAGCGGTCTTAGCCACAGCATCACACTGGGAGTTCATGTGCATTTAGTTATCCACTGTGACCCCTAAGTCCTTTCAGAGTTACCGCTTTCCAGTGTACTGGCTTTCCAACCTGTAACTAGGGCCTATATATTTTGTTCTGAGATGTGTGTCCTTGCATTTGGCTGTATGAAAATACACATTGTTCAAACAAATTCAGCTAACCAAGTGATCCAGATCACTCTTTTTATTTACCACTCCACCAATTGTTGAGTCACATTATCTGGTTACACCTTCCTTTGATGCTGTTGAAGGGGTTGCTGGAATGGGGCTTCTGAGGATTGTGTGACCCACAGAAGCTGTGTCCTTCTCACACCAAAGCTGTCTCCACCCCTCCTACCTTTTTTATTTAAAAAAACCATTTTGGTTCCAAAATGCATCGTCCCCCACAAGATGTTCCTGACGTGGATTCCCTGATTCAGGCCCTCTGAAATCACTTTGAGAAGGGAGAATTGATGTGTAAGCCAAGGAAAATATGTTAACTAACACGTTTTAATTAGCACAATGTTAAACACAATTGTGCCCTTAGCGCAGAGAAAGACAAACTTGTGCTTAACATCATGCTAATTAAAACCATATTTCTAGTGGGGGAACAGATCCATGGAGATCTGTTCATAGCCCAAAGCTGTGTGATATCTTTAGCAATTATCTGGGAAAAGACATACAATCACTGCGGGTAATGTTTGCAGGTGTAACATAGTACCTGCAATTATTACCCCCCTCCTCCAGGAATAGGGCTGTTACTGTCCCTCCGATCTCTGTTTAGTGTTTCCCTGACCTTCCACTGAGATGTTTACTTCTACTCCTCTAAGCTTTGTGTTGAGAGAGGCTTAAGCTACATGGCAAAGTTTTTCTGGCATAGCTATGTCAGCTGCGAGTGTGAGTAAATCACACCCCCCGAGTCAACATAGCTACGCGGGCAGAAACCTTGGTGTAAATGTAACGAAGGCGACAGAAAGTGCATCTGTTGGCATAGCTCTCACCAGTCAAGGAGTTGATGTACCTATGCCAGCAGAACGCTTTCAGTTGACTTATGCTGTCTCTCCATTAGAGGACTCTGCTGTCATCGCTATTCTGGTGTAGCTATGCTGGTAAACCATTTATAACAGTGGTGGGCAACCTGCAGCCCGGGGGCCGCACACGGCCTGTGATGGTAATCCGCTGGTGGGCCGCCAGATAATTTGTTTACAATGATCGCCCGCAGGCACGGCCCCCCGCAGCTCCCAGTGGCCGCGGTTATGCAGTTTGCAAGGGAGGAGCACACATGATATAAAGCTATGTAGATGGGTGGGGGGAAGCCCAGTATTGCACACCTTTGAACGGGGTTCCAAATGCTTGATTTCCAAGCATAACATATTAATTAATGACTATATTATTTATTAATGCTTATGATTAATGTTTGTACAGTGCTTTGAAGTCAAAGTGCTAAGCATTATTATTCATTATTTACTATCATTATTTATTAATGTCATACAGAGGGTGTCACATTTTTTTTTTATCAGCCCTGGGTGAATAAATAATCCTACCAACAATGGAAAATGGTCCTTCATAAAGGCGCAAGGGCTTATTAATCCCTAAAGGGGCATGTTCTCCTTTCTTGTTTGTTTTAGCTAAGAGCAAAAATAAAAAATATATTTTCATTTTGACAAAGTTACTTTTGTGAGACCAGCTTAACTATAACTTTATCTTGTGACCCATCACAAGTTATCAATACATGTACATTCAAGAACACCGGTAGGCAGGTACCAGGCTAGATACATGGTTATGAGTACAGTGCATCTCCTGACTCACTCACTCACTCACTCACTCACTCACACACACACACACACTCTCTCTCTCTCTCTCTCTCTCTCTCTCTCTCTCTCTCTCTCTCCAGCAACTCCATTATGTTAGCACCAAACCTGCAGCTGTCCTTAGGGGAGAGAGAAAACATAGGTCAATGCAACGTCAGATGCTTTTGCTCCCAAATCAAAAGCTACATCCAGTCCTTGCAAAAGTGACTGATCTGGTGCAGCCTGCTAGCCAGTGTAACAGGGTGAACCATTAACTACAGAAAGAAGATCAGAGTGGGCACTTATGGAATCTGAATAACTTTCTGCTCTCAGATCTGCCTGTGATCGGACTCCATGGGAGTTCCATGCTGAACGTTGGAGTTCGGCTTGGCCATGTAGAATTGAGGAGGATTTTGATGTTTGGCTCTCTCTCTCTTTGACTGGTTTCTACTTAACTGTGCATGTTTGTTTATTCCCTCTTTTCCATTGACCCCAAGAGAATCAAAACCAAAACCAGTTGAGCCTGTCTTGGCTCGCTGTCTAATTGCTGCTGGACTGGCCTATGGAACATCTGTTCAGATGACTGCAAGGTTGCGGCTAGGCTGCATATATCCAGCTGCAAGGAACAAGCATATCTGCCAGATGTACTTTGTGTGGTGCTTAATAATGAAGTGGTTGACAGGGTTGGCATTCAAGGGGTCCCAAGCCAGCTTTGACGTTAAGACCCTGTTGAGAGGAATAAGGGAAGGGAAGTCAACCACTTCTTGGTTGTTTCCGAAGCACTTCTTGCATGTACTGTTCCATGCATACATGGGAGCTATAGGGGAGGCTTGCAGGAGGAAATGCCAGGGGAAGGGGCACCTCTAGCCACTCCTAGATAGATGAGGGAAGGCCTGAGAAGGGAGCTACAACTAGTTGGCATGGAAAATCTTGTGTATTTTATGTTTACATGTAGGAAAAGGTGTGGCAGGTGCATAAACCTGGTGGGAGCCCAGTGCCATTTCAAACTTTTCACAACGTTTTCCTTGCTAACCAGTTTAAATCTGAATGGCTCTCTGGCTCTTCGGCTTGAGCTTTCTTCTCAGAGCTCCCCTCTACCCTGGTCTTAAGGCCCCATCCTGGCCCGTTTCATGTCCTCAGGGATGGAGTGACTCTTGCACCAGTTTCTGGCAGCCGGCTGGGAGATGGGAGGGCCTGGCCTTGCCACATAATTCTGCGGTGTTGTAGCATAATTTTGGTCTAATATGCGAAGTGGTCCACACCCATATTACGTAACACTTTCAATCTTCAAAGCATTGCATAGCCTACAGAATTCCTCTCTGTGCTTTCGGTTTACACCCTCCTCATAATTACAATTACCACGTCCCCTTTGGTCATTTCTTAGCCAGTCAGATATACTGAGCCGTTTCCCTGCAGCTCCCTTTATCATTTTTGTTATTTTTCTCTGAATTCCCTTCATTTTGGCTGCTACATTATGATCGGGAGGTCCCCTGAAACCAGCTCCTTACCTCTGACTCACCAGCCCTGTGCAGGGTGTGAGTGAGAAAAAGAGGCAAAAAACATCCAGAAAAGTTGTGACTGAGGCCATCAAACTAATTCACTTGAGACCTAGAAGTAGCTCTCTCCCTCGCCCTTTGGTCTTACTAGACTCTCAGTATTTCTGGGTCAGAGCCTTGGATGTTTTATAAAACCTCCAGTACAATGGAGTATGATCCTGCTGGGAGCATTTGGGTGTTACTGTGACATAAGTGATTAATAACAATGTTCAATCACTTTGTGACTTATCCGTGTGTACTCCCGAGTTCCTCTTCTATTGCTGAGGGACGGGAGCACCTTTGGCTATGTGGAGTGCAGGCCTGTTACTGCATATTCATCTAAGGCAGTGGGAAAACACCTGCTAATGTTCTTAATTCAGCTTATTGAGAAAGAGAAGGGGAAAAGAAAATGCACTTTGACAGAATGGGAATCTTTTTCTGTGAGCAGAAAGAAATGTTACTGCTGTAGAAAGAGGAATGTTGAAAAACTGAGAGCAGCACAAATGATCGGGTAGTGGGAGGAATTGATTTATGAGGAGATTTTAAAAGCGTGAAATCTGACTAACTTGGCTAAGCAATGACTTTAGGCGGAAGGACATGATGATAATCTGAAGTACATGAAGGGCGTAACCACTAAGGAGGGAAAAGAATGATTGGGGGTGGCCTAAGGGAGCGCCATGAGGAGTAATGGGTTGAAATGAAGAAAGGGACAATATAGGCTGAGTATCATGAAATATTGCCCAGCAATGAGCTCCATCAGATAGTAGAGCAGCCTCTGAAAGGAAGTTCTCGTAGTCCCATCACTGGACTGGAAAATGCATGAAGAATAAACTGTCTGCATTGATGGGGAATAGATTTAGATGATCCGAGAGACTGTTTTCCATCTCTATCTTCTGTGATGATTTGATAGCTCCTGATAAGATACGATAAGATAAGAAGGCCCTGCTGCTTATAGAAGGCTGGAAAATCAGTGCAAGGAGAGGAGAAAAATGTAAGGGCTTGTCTATTCTTACACAGCACTGCAGCAGCGCAACTGTAGTGCTTAGTGAAGATGGTACCTGTGCAGATGGCAGAGCTTCTCCCATCAGGGTAGGTATCTGTCCTGTTGACATAACACTGTCTACACCAGGACTTAGGTTGGTCCTGTGTTGCTCAGGGGTGTGGATTTTCCACATCCCTGAGTGACATAGTTACCAACTTAAATGTGTAGTGTAGACCAGGGCTCAGTGTTCATCCTATAGAACTTCTTCTCCTGGCACTGCTGTGAATTAGGGTACCCATATTAAAGAATGCTCTATTAAATCCATACAAACAGATGTTTTGTATAACACTTGTAGATCCCCAATGTTAAAATGTTTGTTTCCTGTGCAGCTTGGGAAGGAAGGCAGTCAGATGGACAATCAAGCAGCCCTCAGAACTCCACCTCCAGCTCCTCTCCCTCTGTTAAGGCTGATAATTCCCTGCCAGGCTTGGGGAAGAAACCATTCCAGAGATCTGACAGACTCCATGCAAGTAAGATATTTATTTTTCTGCACAAAGAGGGTTTTGTTGCTCTGATGGCAGAGTAAAAAGCAGAGCGGAAAATTAAGTAAAAGCTGCAGCTAGTTCCAGGGTTGGAGCAGTTTCTGGCCCGTCCTGAAAGCCACTCCTGCTCTTCAGCATGAATTAGGGAAAATAAAACCACCACCCAACTCAGCAGCTCTATACACCAAACATGTCCATGCCCAGCTCTTCTCATCAGGAAGCTTTGCTGGCTCTTGTGTTCGCAATCCTCTGTGCAACAGAGGCAGAAAAGGACTTGCATTATTTAGCAGCCTTTTCCTTCTAGCACTTAAGGTGTTTCCGTTACCTTAAAAAGGAAACAAAAATAAACCCCATCCTTCAAGCCCAAGAGTGTTACTTGGTTTCTTGCCAGGTTTTTTAAGTTACATGTTTCTCAATTCCCCTTTGTTGCTTGTGGTTTGCTTCACAGATGCTTGGAGTTTAAATGAAATCTCACTATTGTCTCTGTAGGCCAGGGGAATAGGGGGAACCATGTGCTCAGCCCCATCACCCCTCACTTCACATGGGCCAAAAAGTCCATCCATTGGTAACAGTTTTTGTTGGATTTGATCTGAATTAGTGGCCTTGAGGTGAAAGGTTCCATCCATATCCCAGTCGGGGTCCTCTGCAATTTCTCCATGGCCCCTTAAGATCTTGCATTGTGGCAACCCACACTTAGTAATGTCAAGAGCCAATCAGTAGAGCCCTGCAAATCTCTGGATATCTGCTTTCTATCCACGGACCATATATGCGGATACAAATTTTGTATTCACCAGGCTCTACCCATCAGTGCTGCTTTGTCAGTCACTCGAACGTTACCTCCCTCACGCAGGAGGGTGCAGCCCTGCTCCCAGTACACAGGTGCACAGTCACACAAATCACCATCACAGTTGGCCCTAGCTGACCCCTTTCTTTGCCTCAGCCTGGATGCCCACGACAGACATGGACGCCATGGAGACTGAAGCACTCCAGGTCAGGGCTGAGATACGTTGGACCCATGTGAGGGAAGTTTGCTTTTGCTGTACCTGTTCTGGGCATAAGTACCCAGAGCTACTGCACCATCCCAGCACTAAACATTCACTTAATTTAAAATTTGAGGAAAAAAGAATAAGGCAGAGCCATGTTCATTTATTGTTTGTGGCCAAGCTCCTTGCCAGCACTTTGCCAGTGAGAGATGTGCAGCACAGCCAGCTGGAGAGAGCTGCTCTGTATTCCAGACCCAACGCCATCTGCAGGTCAGGGAAATAGCGCAAACCAAACAGATTGCAAAATCGACACTGGAGTTTTCTAAATGGCCTCTGAGTGTGTGTGTCACCTTTCTCAAATGAAACAAGCTTCCATAGGAGTTCTGCTGTGGGGAGCAATTACCTTAAAATCATCATCCCCACGCGCTGGCAGAACATGGTATGACTGTCTTCATTAGACTTATTATTAATGATACATTTTTAATTGACGTTCACAGAACATAATGGCATATTGCCAACAATGTGTAACAGACAAGCCCAAAGGAAAGAGCATACACTGTACAGATGCTCTCTCCAGTCAGGCTGTTTCTGAAATTACAGTGCTCATGTGAGACTTTCTGTAGCATGGGGATTGGTGCTAGAACTGCAGGACTAGTGGTTAGGATCTTTACCATGTGGGAAAAGGGAAGAGGAGAGGATATTTTTTCATTCTTACTGCTTTGTTTAGCATTGTGGTCTCAACACAAGCAGAGCTGTCTGCTGAAAACTGTGTACGTCATACTGATTTTTTTCTAAATCACTTCTGCTTTTGCTGAGTTCAAAATACGAATGAACCAGCAAGAAATCCAAAGGAAGAAGCTGCCCCGGGCCACAGGATTAAAATAGAAGATTAAAGTACACTTGCTAAAAAAAATCCTCCTGAGAGAGACTCCTACCCCAGCACAGGGGAGGTTCTGCTATCTCGGTACCATGGGCAGCCTGGAATCCTTGCAGAATTAGGCAAACCCAGACAAAGCAGAATATTAGGGGTTAATATTTTCCGTGGGAGATGAGACCTTCATAGCCTCAAGAATCCCCACATGATGTTTTTAATCATCCCATCACACTCTAACTCCCACGATTCCACGTAATGCTAATCCTTATGGCAGAAGGGTGGATGTTCGTCTGCTCTGCTCCCGACTTAGCCAGGGAGCTTACTGCTCCCTCCCTTCCAGGGGTTGAAAATGAGCCATCAAAACAGCATTATTAATAACGTCATGTAATCGTGAGCTAAGTGAAGAGCAGCTCAGAGGTAGGGGAGCCCTTATTCTTGCCTCAGGTTACACAGACCTCTGTGGTTCTTTGCAGGGCAGCTGAAGAGGACGAAATGTGCTGAAATTGATGTGGAAACACCTGACTCCATCTTAGTGAACACAAATCTGCGGGCGCTGATCAACAAGCACACATTCTCTGTCCTACCCACAGACTGTCAGCAACGGCTGCTGCTGCTGCTCCCAGAGGTGGACAGGCAGGTACGTAGAGGAGGAGCTATGTTTCCAGGTAACAACATGCAGAAACCAGGGATTGTTTGCTTCCTACACAGCAATTGCCAATTCACTGAGATAAGGGCAGTCAAAACTCAAGTTTCAGAACATGCTTGCTGGAAACTGGGATGGCATTTTTTCATCCGCATACAACACTATTTGGAAAAATACATGGAGTGTTGCTTTCAAGGAAGCATTAGGTCAGGGGTTGGCAACCTTTCAGAAGTTGTGTACCGAGTCTTCATTTATTCACTCTAATTTAAGGTTCTGTGTGCCAGTAATACATTTTAACCTTTTCAGAAGGTCTCTTTCTATAAGTCTATAATATATAACTAAACTATTGTTGTATGTAAAGTAAATAAGGTTTTTAAAATGTTTAAGAAGCTTCATTTAAAATTAAATTAAAATGCAGAGCCCCCCAGACCGGTGGCCAGGCCCGGGAAGTGTGAGTGCCACTGAAAATCAACTCGCGTGCCACTTTCAGCACTGTGCCATAGGTTGCCTACCCCTGCATTAGGTATTGATGGATACCAGAGGTGATGGGCCTATAGTTTTATCCAATATAGTGAATCCTACATTCCTAATAGTAGTGAGATCAGTGGATTCTGCTGTAGTGGAGTGGACATGCTAGGGGCAGGGAGTGTTGACGGCCAGCTTTTTTTCAAAATCTTTTCAATGTGGTCTTATCCCCATAGCAGTTTAGGAGAGATGCCTTACTAGATGGTCTCTAAAACAATTGATATACTTTAGCCCAGTCCCCTTATGGTTTCTGGATGTCTCAATAGTTGTCAAGTTACCACTGTTATACGCTGGGTTTGGTGAAATGAGACATGAGGCTGGATAGGGCTTTAGCCTTGCATAGATGCACAATGCTTTACATAGAAGGGAGAAGGTGTTAATGAATTATTTGTCAACACAGAGGAAGATGCTGTCCCTACTACACAGTCTTTGTTCTAAATTGGAACACAGAACACACAATTTAGAGCTATAGAACATGTGGTGCAGATTTCGTACATTTTGTGGATTACCAATGAAAGAATTCTGTGTTTTAAGAAAGGATCTGAAAAAGTGAAGAGGATAATTCAATGCATAAGAAGAGGGAGGTAGGCCCATATATAGGCAGTTGGAGGAGTAAGTGGAAATGAAGGCAGCAATATAAACACGGGCAAAGTTCCACAGAACCTTGATGGTGACGATGAATACTATTATTTAATATTTTTATGATGGCAGCATGTAGAGGCCTGAACCCCATCTTTCTAGGTATGTTATAAACAAATAACAAAAAGCTTGAACTGATGCACAGTGGAGTGACATGGTCTGAGAAGCAAAAACATGATCATTAGCCTCAGAGTTCTGTAAAGATTGAAGGGGTCTCAGATAAGAAGAAGAGTCCACAGAGGAAGAAGTTGGAATAAGTGAGCTGAGCTTTGACCCAGGAATGGATAAAGGTTTTGTGGCAGAATGGAGAGGAAAGAAGGGATTTCAGAGCTGTAGAGATTGAGTTCTCAACATTTTTGATACTGAGGACCCCATTCCCATTCCAGGATCCTTCCTTCTATCTAGCCATATGAGAAGGGCAGGGTGGTTTCAATACCCTGACAGCCCTAGATTGAGAAAACCCATGATATAGTTATAGGTAGGGTGAAATTTTTCAGCCAAAACTTTTCTCAGTGAAAATTACAGATGATGTGACATTGAAATGTTTCATAGATTCCAAGGCCACAAAGGACCATTGTGATCATCTAGTCTAGCACAGACCAGGTAATTCCTAGAGCAGATCTTTTTGAAAAACATCAAATTGTGATTTAAAAATTGTAAGTGATGGAGACTTCACATGACCCTTTGCAAATTTGTTTTTCATTGAATTGTTCACATGGGGGGTTGGGGGTTGAGCGCTTGCTTACATCCATTCCACATTAGGTGTGCACGTGCCATGTGCACAGTTGCTGGAGAGTTTTCCCTCAGTGGTATCCATCAGGTCAGCTCTAGCGCCCTCGGGTGCTGTTTGCTTATGCACTGGTACAAGAGGCACCGTCGACCTTGCACCCTCTCAGTTCCTTCTGATTGCCCGTGATGGTTACTGGAACAATTCCTCTTACTTCGGCAAGGTGTTTTCAGTGGTTTTCTTCTCTGTATCTTAGCTGATTAGTCTTAGTATAGCTGTAGTGTAAATATTGTAAATAGCACTATTGTAGATAGTTAGAACCCCTTCCCTTACTGTTGAGGGGCTCCCTTCGCCACAGGGGCCACGCCTGCTCTGGTCCCCGGGCTTCAAACCTTGTGCCTCCTCTGGCAAGCCTATGCCCATGAGCGACCCACACTCCAGTTCTCTGAAGTGTCTGGAAGAAAGTCACATGAAAGAGCTCTGTCAAAGTTGTCGGGAGTGTAAGCCTCATACAAAGAAGGACAGAGAGATCAGACTGAAGGCTATCCTAATAGAAGCCGTTCGGATTCGGCACCAAGCACTGTGGCCCTGGTGCGAAGCGCTCCTCTGGCACAGCATGCATCCTGACACTGTTCTCCATCTGCAGTATCAAGGAAGCATAAAAAGCAGCGCACCAATAGAGGGTGCTCATCGGTGCCTAAGAAAGGCAAGGAAGTGGAGTGTGAAGCGTGTTGGACCACTGCTCATCTCCTGTCCCGTGATGGCACCATCGACTCCACCCAGAACGTTGAAGTCTGGTGTGAGATCCCCACAGCAAAGCTGGGAAGTGATCGCTGTGCCAGTGGGACTGCGGTGCCTTCAACCCTGGAGGCCTTTGCAACGGCCAGGTACTTGTTATTGCTCCCGGTACCACCAACTCCAATGTAACAACCGCTGGCTCTGACGCGCATGAGCAGGAGAGAGCATGGTGCTCTGAGCTCCTTCGCAGCACCGGGACTTTCAATACCTTCTAGGGCAAGCCGACACTGCTTTCCTTTATGTGGTCATCCCCAGTCCACCACTGGTCCCTGAACCTTCAGCACCAACAGCAGAAGTGAGGGGTACCACTGTCCGTGGTCACCTCGGGAGGACTCATCATCTGAGTCAGACGTGGAGCCCTACACCCAGCTCAAGAGCCACCACCGGTACCCATCCTACATGCTGCCAGACCTCAGTTTGGGTCCCTCTGCTGGTATGTGGCCAGGTGGGCAGTGGCCTATGCATTGGCCATTCTGGAACCCATAGGGGTTTCCCGTTGTACCGGGTCCATCTTCTCACCCATCATACTCAGTTGCTTCTGAGAAAAGGGCTCTGCTCTGCTTAGCACCAGACCCCCAACTCCGATACCAAACTCGATACCGATACACAGGATGTGGGCCCCATGGAGGTAATAGAGGCTGAAGAAGAGGAAAAAGGCCTCCCTCCAGTGCAGGCCTTTTCTTCCTTTTCCCCAGATGAGGCTGTCTTGGAAACGAGCTGCTCACTGCTACAAGATGATTTTAGAGCCCATCAGGAGCGTCTGAAGTGGATAGCAGCCAACCTGGGGCTAGAGATTGAGGAGCTCAAGAAATTGTCCCACAGCCTCATTGATATTCTGGCTGCAACAGCACCATCTAAGGTGGTCCTACCTATTAACAAAGCAGTAATGGGTCCAGTCAAAGCCCTCTGGCAGACCCCATCTTCTCTGCTCCCCACTTCGAAGAGGGCAGAGAAGAAATATTATGTGCCCGGCAACAGGTATGAGTACCTATACTCTGACCTCCCTCCTGGGTCCCTAGTTGTATCAGCAGCCAATGAGAGGGATAGACAAGGCCAACCATGTGCTACCCCCACACAGAAAGATGCAAAAAAAACTTAATCTGTTTGGGAGGAAAGTTTATTCAACAACTGGTCTTCAGCTATGTATCGCAAACTAACAAGCCCTGCTGGAGAGAGATGATTACAACTTGTGGGACTCCTTGTCCAAATTTAAAGACTGCGTGCCTCAGGACTCAAGGCAGGAATTCTCTGCCTTATTAAAAGAGGGAAAAATATGTTGCCAGAGCCTCTCTCCAGGCAGCACTGGATGCAGCTGATGCGGTGGCCAGGACAATGGCCTCAGCAGTGTCCATGAGGCAATGCTCTTGGCTACAGTCCTCCAGGCTACCTCAGGAGATCCAAAGTCAATCCAGGACCTCCCTTTCAAAGGCTCCTCGTTGTTTTTGGAGCAAGCAGACACAAGACTCCACAGCCTGAAGGACGCAAGAGCTACTCTCAGGTCCCTGGGCCTCTGTGTGCCGTCCACTTCAAGGAAGCACTTCAGGCCTCAACGGCTGGCCTGCTTCTTGGCTCCACCACCGACACAGGGACCTGTTTAAATGAAAGGGCAGAGGTTACAAGCATCAACTGCTCCCATTCACCTCAACCTTGCTGCCGGGGTTACATAGGTACTCCAATGGCCCCTGCAGGCATTTTGAAGGTGTGCTTGAGTGCACTGTAGCAGTTCCCATCTCGGATTCTGCACCTCCTTTGTTTTTGGACCAACTTTCCCACTTCAACTCAGCATGGTCCCACATCACATTGGACTGCTGGGTGCTAAATACAGTGGTGGACAGTTATACCCTTCAGTTTTCCTCCATCCCTGCCTCCCACTCCCCATTCCTGTCCCTCTTCAGGGACCCTTCTCACGAGCAACTGCTAGCCCAGGAGGTGCATACCCTCCTTTGGGTGGAGGCTGTGGAACAGATACCTCAAAGTTTGAGAGGGAAGGCTTTTTTTTACTCCTGATGTTTCCTAATCCCAAAGGCCAAGGGATCCTGCCCCATCCTGGACCTGCGTTATCTCAAGAAACTGAAGATCTGCATGGTCTCCATCATCCAGGGGACTGATATGCTGCTGTCGACTTGAAGGGCACTTTACTTTCACATTTCTGTCTTAAGAACAGCCATACTGGGTCAGACCAAAGGTCCATCTAGTCCAGTATCCGGTCTTCCGACAGTGGCCAATGCCAGGTGCCCCAGAGGGAATGAACAGAACAGGTAATCATCAAGTGATCCATCCCCTGTTGCCTATGCCCAGTTTCTGG